GGCAGGATGCAGGCGACGGCGCACCTGCTCAATCTGCTGCTGCTGTCGCTGCTGGCCGGACTCGGTCCTTCCCAGGTATGCGCGATATGTTAACTCTTGGCTTGAAATCAAGGTGCAATAGGAAACCAACCGACCAAAAATGCAAATACCACCCCCCCACCCCCCCAAAAAAGGCATGCAGGACGGCTGTCCGGGCTACCTTCATGGCTCGGGTGATAGATAACAAGGTGAACTGCCTGCCAAGGAGGAATAGCGCCTCAAGGTAGAGTCCCCGGGAGGGGGGAGGGACCGGGCGCGAAGGGAAGGGAATGAGGGTGGGCAGCGGGCAATGCGGCTCTGGGGGAACGGGCTCATTCTGGGTCCGAGCGCTAAGGTGCTGTTGGGGAGTCAGTCGCGGGGGTAATGCCAGGGAGTCCGCGGCGGAAACCATGCAATTTGTAAACACGGATGAGGAGCCGGTGAGCGGAGCCGTTTCTTTGTTGAAAGCGGAGGAGGGCTGTGTGTTTTCCCCCCGCGGATCCCGGCGAGGAACACTCCCCCGGCAGACGTGCTGCGGTTTGTGGCGGAAAACACTGGCGCTGATGCCTGCACCACGCAGGGCACAGAGGGCTCTGGCCCCCGCGGCCGGGCCGGGAGGCAGGCGTGGGTGAACGGGGCGGGGGGTCCTCTGCTGCTTTCTTTCATGGAGGGAGGAGGGGGCCCAGCAAGTTCTGATCACGGTGATCAGAGGCCGGCGGGAGAGTCCTGGGAGGGCTGCGGGGTCGCCTGGCTGTGGAACTCTGAAAATCAGCCAGCGCCTGCCACCGGAGTGAACGCTGAGCCCTTGTTACAAAAAGGCAGGAAAATCCGGAGAAATGCCTGCAGCGGCCAATGAGGAAAGTCTTGATGATAAAGTGAGAGAATTTGAGAGCGTCAGCATTGTACGGTCATCTTAATTATCTACATAAGAAATCAGGGGTCTGATTTAAAAAAAAAAAAGAGCAAGAGTTACAATTTTTAAAATGATGTCACTTGTTTAACTGGCCAAGAGCAATCTGACACAACCGGACAGATGATGCCACGCTACAGCCATTTAAAGCTGTACTGGGGGGTATTGGGAAGCTATTTATTTAAAGCTTCCCATCATCTCGGTGGTGGAGAGAGATTAATTTTCTTTTCATAATGGAATAAGAACTAATTAAGGTGTAACCAAGCATGATCTAATACTGTGGCTGACCATATTTCTAGGCCCAATGTAGCGCATAGTGAAAAGTTAGAGTCACGTCTTGTAGACTCGTCATTATTTGTGTGCTCTTTTCGTGTTTAGAGAGATCTGATGAGGATCAAATCATTTTATCTTAAAGCTCTGGTTGTGGTCATATTGTCCCTGAAATCTTCGGTGTGAGTTCCACCTTAGTGATCTTCATGGACAGCGTTAGGGCATGCTACATCTAACTAAAAAGTGTGGGCTTCATTTTTACATTTCCTAAATCTTATTTTTCTTTTTGCCTCTGGACCTACGTTGACACCACTGTGACTATATTATGTTGGTTAAAACTTTTAAATGCATTCCATTATGTACCTCACTCGAAATATTCTTAGTAAAATGCTTTTTAAAACTGAACCTAATCACCGAATTACTGCAGGGGGGAAAAATCACTTGACTTAAAGTGAGTTCTGGCATTCTTTAAAAATGAACTCATGTGAGATTTCTCTGGTATCTTTAATGCTTAAGTATCTTTACTTCTTTGTCCTCTGTTCTTTCTCACATTAATATATAAACAAAGAAAAGCTTCTGTTAAATATTGAGATGATTCCTCCAAATAAATGATCCACTTTTAGTCAATATGAGCTTTTCTAGTATTAATAAGCTTATGGCTGGGCGTTCGACAATATGAAACTTTTTAAAAAATTTTTTTAATATGAAACTTTTCATAGATTTAACTATGGCGGTTTGGTACAAATGAGTGAGACATTCAGGGAGGAAAGGCACACACATTAACTTTTCAAACTGTCCTTTTCAGCTTCTAGAATACATACTGCCCCTCAGTGTGCAAAGAGGAGAAGGCGGCCACTTGTTCTATGCCACGTAGGACATTAGAGAGAATATCCACATGTCCATAAACGGTTCTGGACAGGGGGAGGAAACACTGCTTAAAAAGCGGATAAAAGCTACTTTTGTATGTTTTATCCAACTATTGT